AAAACATGAATATGTGAACACAAACAATGTTTAAAATAAGCTATGTGAACAAAAAAATTGACCAAAACAATGCATTTAATGTTGAAGAGTATCTTTTCTGGCAATAGTTAGATTGAATCTACCAAGAGCAAACATGAAGAAAAAATATATTGAGGAGGATTTCACTTCAAACGATATGGACCATTTATATTTTTCAGGCTTAATTATTAACAAAACCCCTGTACTTTAGGCCAATTCCACACCACGCCAACTTTTATTTGTAATTCTCTTTCTTAATTTCAGTTTCAAAAAAAAATTTTCCACCTAAATTCATAGCAAGAGCCATTATATTCTAGTGGATGGTGAGGAAATTCTTGAGCAACACACTGTGGGTAACTACACCAAAAAGAATTGTGCAAAACTTTAGAACTAGGAAGAAGACAAATCCAAAAATTATGCATTTATGCCATAGAAATAGTGGAATAATAAGGATTTTGGAACACTTTGAGCCTAGGTGAACCAGAACTCACCAAATCTTTTTGACAATTTTGCTACCTACACTAGTAGATCTAATAAAATGCCTAGCTCCAACATAGAATCCCACAAAGAACTATTATTATATAGTCCTCTATGAAGTTTATATGAAATGAAATCAACTGAATAATAATAAGGAAAAAGAAAAAAAAACCTGGGGTATGATTCGCATGCCAATCAAGATAGTTCAAAACAATTTTGTTTAAAACATTGATCTTATTCAGTATTTTAACAACAATAAAATATAACTACTACATGCTTAAGACATCCTCATCTTTATAAGCTAATATACTACAATCAAACAACAACATTAAGATCATAGAGCTTAACGAAAACCATTGCCGGAAAAGATAACCGTTGCCAAATATTAGCATTGATCACAAACAATCCCGTTTTGTCAAATTTTAACAAATAGAGTTAATTAATCTCACCGATTAATCTTTCTTACTATATTCCAATACATGTTAATCTGTTTTTGGAAGTAGACAGATGGGGGCAGACGAATGGGGAAGGTTTGGGTGGATTGTGGAAAGGGGAGGGCAAGGTTTTTTACCATTTTTTAAAAGAGGGTACAAAAAAGCGTAAGGCTAGAAATGCTCGTAGGAAACTGTTTAAAATAGCAAGTTAAAGACGTCCCTTGAAATGACGTTTATGAGTTAAAATATTCAGATTTTATTCAAGTTTTTCAAGGTTCAAAACGTCATTTAAAATGATGTTTTCAATTGTGAATGCGTCAATTCAAATGACGTTATGAAAAAAAGGCTGATTTTAAGAAATAAGTTGAAAAAATGAATGATTTTGAAAAATAAATTTTTGAGGCAAATGGGTATGGTAAAAAGCTCTATGGGTGAGCTGCCTACTCGGTTTAGACAAGTCTAGGTATGAATTTTTTTTTTGACTGCACCAAAAAATAATTATGATAATAGATTTTAATTTTTTTTAGTTATTACTAATAAATAGAGTAAGATATAATCATATAATCAAATAAAATAAAATAATCTCACATGCATCCTAATTTTATTGATAGAAAAAGAGGAAATATGATATTGTTAACACCAAAATATGCAAAATCTAAAAAGGACATGTGACACAATCCAATGGATGAGATTGAGTCAGGAAAGGTCCTAGGTGATTAGCCAGTTATGAGAAGAGATCTCCAAAGACCCCGAAAAGTAGTGAGCTGTGCTAAAACGTGACATCGTGGAGTTATTAGTTACAGATGGTTGGAGGTACATTCATAGCCGTTATAGAGAGAGGCCCTAAGTATAGACTAATTGGTTGAAAAAGATGGCTCCAACAGTTAGAAATCACAACCTATAAATTCAGAGAGATAAGCCAGAGGGAAATGATCTAATATCAATGCTCCTATAAACAACCAACTAGACTTGTTTCCGCCCTATTTAATGTCATGTTCTTTCTCTCTAATTCACTTTCACTTCAACGTCATTCCAGTGGTTAGGTTTAGTCTCTTTCATGCACAGTACTCAATAAAATTGTTCTATTTGTTTATTCTCATTACGGTTTTCTCTCGACTCCATTTCAATTCATTCTTTTTCAATTTTTTGTTTCTCCAAAAGAATAATTTAAGTACTTGAACTCTAAGGCACAAAAAAGAATCTAGAAGCAGTCTTACAACTTGTTATAGTCACTTGAACATTTACCATCAAGAATCTCATGCCGTTTCGTGTAGATAAAATCGTATTGTTTGAAATCGTTAAGTTCATTTGGAACTTTGACACACCCACATTAAAAAATATGCCAAACGGATACTAAAAAAATTTAGGTCCCATAATTGGCCCCAAGATCTAAGGACACTCGAGTCTTCCTAGTTCAACAAATCTTGCAAAGGCTAATTAGATTTTTTCAAAGGCTAGCATTGTTTATTGATAATCACATAACAACTACTTCTGCGAAAACAAGTTTTTCAATACACTACTTACATTATTAAAATCTTATTTATGACTGACTATGACACTTTATGTTGAGGATCACTTCAAGTAGAGGCCAACAACACCGTTGCCAAAAAAAAGAGACACCGTAGCCTAACCTTTCATATTAAATATTATGTTATGGTGGATAAACTTGTTGGCGGGTAAGACGGAGAGTTGAGACACCCACCTCAACTGTGACACTTTTTTTTCCCCTGACATTGGCTCCTCAACTATTATGTTTTTGAGATTACACCTTTAACTTTGTGATAAGTTTTGTATTATGCTAAAAATTAACTATAACGTCATATTTGTTGCGTAAAAATACACAAAAATAATATCAAATTACAATAACTTAATTTGTTTGACTTGATAAAAAATAGTGGTGTTGAATTTATTCGGCATACTTCTCACATGCATTATTCTCTGATTCTCGATAAATTTGGTAAAGATGAGATGAAAGCTGGATTGACGTATTTTTCAATCCTCGATTTGGTGGTGGTTTTTATGAATTTGATGAATGCAAGAGTTGTATCAGCATATTTCTCGTTCTTCGAATTGATGAAGTCTTTGATAAATCTTCCCAGTGTTCCTCTTTTTGAATAGTTTGAAGATGATTTGAAGAAAGACACTGACATTGGTAGTGTGTTCTTTTCCTCAGAGATGGACTTGTATAAGGTTTTGACTGAAGGTGGACTCGGGCAGAGTTTTGTCGATCTTTCCTCCTCTTTGGTTTTTTCTCCTTGACTCCCTTTTGGCCTCTCCCAAACCTCTTTTTTTTAGTGCAAGGAATAATTATCTATATAAAGGTATTTTACCCCAATTTATATAATAAGATAGATAGGTGTTTGAACTTATGGGGGTATATTTTTCCCTCTAGATTTTACACACCTATCACACACTTTCTTTCCCAAATTTCACAAATTCAATACAAATATTCTACAATACATAACTACACATACTCTAATACACACTCACTACACACACATTATTTAGAAACTTCAGCTATACACACACACTCCAATGTATGCATAGTATCATAGTTTAATATTCAGTGACTTCAGTCGTGGAGTATCACTAGTACCTTTATATGGGCTTTATGGAGTGGGTCACATAAATAAAGTTTATAGATTGAGTTTATTTTATTTTGGGCTTATGATACTTAAGTCCAAGACAAAGTAATTTTAAAATCCCATTAAATTTTAACTTGTATTATTTAAACTTATGAAATTTAGGTCAAACTCAAACATATTTAATTAAATTTGGACTTTTGATATTTGGGATTTAGTTTCAGCTCAATTTAATTTTAGTAATTTATTTAATTGATTTAGGTCCAATTATAGACATTACAATCTTTAATGTCTACACTAAAGTTCATTGCAAATTTGACAAAAAATTATTTTAATTTACCCTTTGAACTATGTGATTTTTTTCACTAATAGAAGTTTACATTTGGGGCTAGGTGAAATAACCTCAATTAATTGAGGGAATAATGTAAAAAATTCAATAGTTCAAGAAGTAAAATAAAATAAAATCGAGTCCAAAATTAAGGGGACCTAATATACTCGTAATTAAATAAATTGAATTCTAAAGACTAAGAAAATGAGGAGGAAGGACTTTTTAAACTCTCTCGATTATCATAGTTAACTTTTTTTTTTGGGAGGGAAAATAAGAAAGGGGACGAGGAAGGAGAACTTGAACACCTGACATCAAGAAAGACAAAAGGTACCATTAAAACAAATACCTGTTACTGATTATCATAGTTAACTACTACTAGAGGTAGACCCTGCCAATGCATGGGAATTACAGCCCCCCTCCTCCTCCTTCCCCAAACTTCTTCCCCCAACTTGGTTTTTTTAATCAAAAGAAATTAAAATCCTTGAAAAAAATGAAAATAGGGCAGAAATTTTTTTAAAGCACTGTCCTCTCTAATTTGATTCTTATACACGTGTGTGTGAACATATTCTGTTAATTAGGTGGAAGTGGGTTTAAATCAACCAAGATGTTGTTTATTTATTTATTTTTTTTGCGTCATTTTGAATGGCAAGCCATAACCCGTCAGAGGTTCGAGTCCCACAGGCTGGAACCTTGGCTTGGATTTGACCAATGCACTTTGGTTGCGAGTAATTACATATATCCAAACTTTACATTACTGTAATGAGTACATACCATATGTGATTAGTAGAATTTCCCATAACTGTTAGACACAAATATGCCTTAATATCGTTAAAGAGAATATACAAGGTATGCGGCAAACATTTAGTATTTATTAAAAAGCATTTAAACTAGGAAATAGGAGGCCAAACGATTGCAATTTTTCACAAGAAAAATACATTTCAAACTTAAAATAGACTCATAAAATCCATCAAAAGTCGACCACAACTTATGAAAGGCACTCCCTTTAAAAAAAACTTAGCTAGTCAAAAGTAACACAACCTTAAGGACACACACAAATAACTGTGCAATTGATGTACACACACACAGAGTCACTATATCCCAATTTTCATAGACCAACCCATTATCACATATGCTTGTTATGAACAAACAGCCTTCCTCACATTAAGCCATGGAGTCCTTGGCCTCGGCAAATCTTCGAGCAGAATCTGATGACACAGAGCCACCATCTGGGTGGATCTTCTTGCTCTTGCCACCTTTACCATTACCAACATTTTTCTCTTCAGCACCACCCGCTCCATCGTTCCCGCTTCTTCCTCTTTCCTCTTCCATTCTTTTCATTTTCTCCCGTTGGCGCTTTTGCTGCACATACACATGAGCGAAACTAGCTCCGGTAGACGACATTTCCCGAAAATTTGATATGATAAGTGGCTGTTGGCGCAATGTTGTGTGTATGGTGGCAATGCAGAACCTTAAGAGGTTAGTTTATATAGGGCATCATAGTTGCCTTTTTGAGCAAGCCATCACTAGGGTTTAGTTTTTTTTTTTTTTTTGTTTGGGTCATCACTAGAGTTTAGGTTTAATGGCTGACGATTCTGATTATATTATATTCATTTAAGCCGGTTTAGAACAAGATAAGAAGTGGGGTACATAAAAAATGGCTATCTTTTTATGGTGGCTCTCTTGTGGCTTAACCATTTCTACCACAAAAATGTGACATATAAGCTATGATATGGGAAGAGTGGATGGTGCATAGTTGGACATTAACGAGGATAGCTGTCAGTCCTGAAGGGCATTAAAAAAATGAAAAATGCTATTTGCACTTAATTTTGTGACTAAATTTGGGATCTAACTCAATACAAGATTTAAATTGAAAGTGAACTCAATTTAATATTGAAACTTACAATTAATCAATTTTTTGGGGTCAGACTATGAAGAATTTATCTTTCATGAATACCCTAACCCTGACATGGATGACCTGTCTTTGACCGACTGAGGAGGAGAGAGGTGCGTGTAAGCTGGCTTAGACATCCCTGACTATTGATCTTAAAAAAAAAAGAATAATGTTTTACTGACCAAATTTGGAGCTCAAATGACATGGTAGTTGATTATTTGAAATTTTTATTGGGGTCCAAATGACATCACACCAATCAAAAAAGCCCAAGTCAACTGTTATGTCATTTGGACTCCAAATTTGGTCCTAAAATTTGGCCAATCTTGCATTACTGGAAAAAAAAAATAGTTGCATTAAATTAAGTCCCTGATTAGGTTCTTATAGTATTGCTAAAAAAAAATTGGTTGACCCTTGTTATAGTGCTGGCTAACTGGATACAGAGTGTACCAACAGTCAGCAGAAGCCTTATCAACCCTTAATATGTTCATATCAATAAAATAATATCTAAAAATAATACGAGCCATATTTTTAGATATTATTTTATGAGCATTGTGTTTCGACTCAGAAGGCTCGATAGGTTATGAGCATCTCCATACATTATCAGGTACTTTTGAGTTGGATGTTTTAATATATATCAGAATTGTGTTTCAAGAGGTTTTGGACAGGTTTTTTTTTTTTAAATTTTCGTGTCGATCATTTCTTTTTTCAAGCCATAGTATATATACATATTTATTTTATTCGATATGATAACACATCCAAAACTAGTATATGTGGCCCTTTCGACTAAGTGTCAGTTGGTTTTGAGTTGATTTTTTAGTCCGATGCTTTGAAATGGTATAAGAATTTGGCTTCAGGAGTTTTTGGACAAGTCTCTCTATCTCAATTTATATAATTTTGTAATTAATTCTTAATTTGTTCTTAGCATAAGTACACCTTGTTATACCTCCAATGCTAAAGTATAATAAGTTAATAACGCTTTCAAAACTAATATATGAGTTATGTGGATCTTTCAACTCATTGCAGTTGATTTTCAGTTGCTGTCATTTAACTCACTTCACTCTCTATGCTATTGTCTGACTGTCAGGTATTCAACAACTCATCAGCTACATTGATTATATATAGAGGTGGTATATAGAGTTTCATAACACTTATCCTCCGTTTGGTGGGTGGAGCTCCTTTGCTGTTGAGAGTAACATCAAACTTTGCTGGTAAGTGGGACGGCGCCGTTTTGGCCAAAACTTCAGCACCCAGCAAATCCACAAAACGACATCGTCTTCCACCTATGCAGAACAAAGCGCAAAAACAGACTGCTCTTTCTCTCCAAAATCGACAACCAGCCTCGCCTAAAAAAATCTAAAAAACTCTCTGCAGAGAGCTTGTAATCACCAACAAAAATTCCATTGCTTTTCTCTCTTTTTGTTTCTTAGGTAATGTTGATATTTTATTCATAATTTTTTTATGAAATTCCAGTTCATAAAATTCATAATTTTTTTTAACACCATGACCCTGTATTCGTCATTGTCCCTAGAGAACAATGGTGTTTCATATTCAAATCAATTAAGCTGCATTTGAAAAGTGTGTTAGAAGTGTTGTGCTTCTTAAATTGTTATGAGCCTTTCTTAAATGAGTATGACTTGCCAAAAATGTTCAGTCTTGTAGGATTCGTTGGACATGTTGGAAGTGGTATTATTCTATGGTGGAACAAACTGTGTATTAACTTGTTGGATTGCTTTGATTGTGTCATGTTTGATGCTATCATGTTGCGGGCTTGTGTTGCGAGTTTTCTCTTCACAGCTGGCACTAGTGTTATATAGGCTCTTAGTGAAAGAATAACACATCCTTTGTTTCTAAATTTCTCTGATATGATTTCCTGATTTACATAGAAATGAGTGAAGAAACAGAAATCAGGTACTTTATGTTTGAAATTTTCGTTAACCTTATGTCACAGTCACAGAGGAAAGAAGCAATGATACTTGTGGATATGAATCGTGTCCTTGTAGTTTATAAAAACCCTTTTGACTTGAACACATTGCACAGCTTCCTTCAATTGTCTTGTAATTCTTTGTATAATATATTACATTGGGTCTGTGATATTGATATAATTATGAGACTACCATCATTCTTTCTACAACATTTTTGTGAGTATATTTGATTGTTTGATATATGGATATTGGTGTTTTAGGCTTTGGTGAAACTGAGTTATATAGGCTTTGATACGTAAGATTTTCTTGTTGATAGGGAACATAAAAAATAAGTATTTCCTTGTTCCATTTGTAATTGAAAATTTATATGGGGACCTACTCTTAAATTTAATTTGTGTAACTGTTTGATTATTGTAGGGGATCTAATCTTTAGTGGAGATGGAATGTGTTAAGATTGATAAAGCAGACAATACTCTATGTATGAGAATGCAATTTGACTTGGAAGAAGATGCTTATAGGTTTTATAACAATTATGGTGGAACTGTGGGATTCAATGTGAGAAAAAATTATCACAACAAGAGCTTGAAGGATGGTGTATTAATTTACAAAAAATACGTTTGTTGTAAACAGGGACAAAGGAGTAAAGATCAAAGGGATTGGAAAACAACAAAGGCTCGGGCAGAGACTCACAAATTGCCCCGCTCACATGTGCATATCCCTACTTATGGGCATCAACTTATAGTCACTCAAATCCATTCTCAAGCATGTCTTCTCAAGCATCAATTGGTTTACAAAATGCTCGGATAAATGTTGAATCATGCTTCTTGGACAACGTTGTTGATTATTCTAATGAGGAGAATCGAGGTGGATAATGAATAGTTGCTTCTTCAAATTTCTTTTGCTATTTTGAAATGGGGATGGTGGATCTTTTGCTATGGTTGCAAAGAGTATTCTTTTGCTATGGGGATGGTGGATCTTCTATTTTTTTGTTTTAGAAGATCTGCCATCCCTTTGGAAACACTTGTGTACATGATCTCATTTTTGTTTTTTTATGGAATTGACCTCATCTATGTATGATTCATGGTGTTCAATGTGTATTTTTTATCTTGGACAAGTAAATTTTTGTTATGTACCATGCACCAAAGCACCATGTTCAACCAACCAATATACCAATACATCAATACATCATTTCAACCAACCAATACGCTTCATTTCATAGAAAAGAATTACAATCAATAAGACAAGCAAACAAACCCTGCTCTGTCTTTATCCAGAAATGCAAGAAAAAACAAGAATTAACAAATGACAATCTTCTTCCTTAAAGTTTTGGTACCCTCCTGACCTTGCTGCTGCAACCTCCTTGCCTGATTTTTTTTTTTTTTTTAAAGAAATAGAAAATTTTATTGAATAAAACTCAAAATTACAAGAATCAAAATAGAAACTGTTTTAGTGAAAAAACAGTAACTGTTTAACAAAAAATAGAAAAAAACTGTTACAGTAAAACAGATTTTCTGTTACAAAAAATGCAAACAAAACTCTTTAACTTCTCCTGCACAACTGCACCATTTTGCTGAACTAGCTGAAAAAGGAATTGCCAGTGAAAAAACAACTCTTCACCTTCCATCCTTCAAAATGTACTAAGGTAGCTTAGCAACAGCTCATATCAAAATCCCACTGCTTGTAGCTAAACAGGCTGCACCAGACTGCATACAGACTGCACCAGACTACATAGCATCACAGCTCAACAGATTGCACCAGACTGCATAGACTGCACCATACTGCATGAACACAGCAGCAGCTCAACAGACTGCACCAGACTGCAACATCATCCTAGCTTCACAGCATCACAGCTCAGAATTCTGAAAATTAATAAATTGTCTTTAATCCTTCAAGAGGACCAAAACCAATGTTAACTACGATTCTGCATCTTCTGAACTTCACAATTCAGCTCCTAGCTCATTAAACAGCCCCCAGACAAGAAGCTCCAATATTGACAAAATTGTAAGGCAGCCTCTTAAGAATGACTGCTTGTTTGATTAGCTCTCTTAAAGAAAACAAAGGAACCAAATTTAGTATAGCTAAAGACAGTGGAGCATTAACTCACTTGTGCCTAGACAACAAAATCTAGACTTGACCACCAATTTTTGCCCAACCAAAATATCAGACAATACTAGGTATGTCCCAACGGTTCTCCAAATTATACTCATGAAGTGTGATATATGACTAGACCATTCAATCTCCATAACAATCAACAGTTATATATAGGTATCCCAATTGTAAAAACCTTCTGAAAAAACACCCAGATTTTTTCTTTTTTTCTTAAAGTGAATCTAATTATCTTCCTTACCTCGATTATGTGGTCAACCAGTTCAAAAAACTAACAAAAAAAAATAATAAATTCAATTATACTAATATGGTGACTCTGGCAGTGAATCTGATATACATAATTTCACTCAGACCAACAAACAAACACCTACAAGTCATGTACACAAATGCACATACAAATACATATGAAAATATGCACAAACAGAGAGAGAGAGAGAGAGAGAGAGAGAGAGAGAGAGAGAGAGAGAGAGAACCTTCTTGAGCTCTTTGTAATGGGCTCGTGTTGGCAAGCTCTTTGTGAATTTTGGATCGGAGAGCCCTATTTTCTGG